TCTGCAGTAAAAAGTCAACCCTAACAGCCACACTTACGGGAAATTATTAAGCTAGTTAGCAATTCCTTAACCAAATAAACGGTGACTAATGATTATAGGAATAATAGTTATTCTGGTGTAAGATTTAGTTAAGAACGTCTCAATTCAGTGAAGGAGTACCTATCTAAATCACTGAAGCGTCGTTGTAAAATAATTATGTTAGGGTGCTTGTTACTTTTGTTAAAATACGTTTGGACTAAAGGATAATGCATGAAACTGATATAGCTTTGTTTTTAGTTTCAGCATGTTGACTTCTATTATTGCCCTTTTAGCTGCTGAAAAACTTAACAGCGAGAATTATAAACAGTGGAAATCTAACCTAAACACTATACTCGTAATAGATGATCTTAGGTTCGTCTTGCAAGAGGAATGTCCTCAAGCTCCTATGCCTAATGCCACTTTAGCGGTGCACAACGTCTATAACCGGTGGATCAAGGCCAACAAGGCTAAGGTCTACATTTTGGCGAGCATATCTGATGTGCTTGCTAAGAAGCACGATAACATGGTCACTGCCAAGGAGATCATGGACTCGCTATAGAGCATGTTTGGACAACCGTTCTCACAAGCTCAACATGAAGTCCTTAAGTTCATTTATATCTCCCGCATGAAGGAGGACTCATCAATGCGATAACACATTCTCAACCTGATGGTCCACTTCAATGTGGTGGAGATGAACGAGGTCGTCATAGATGAGCAGAGTCGGTCAGCTTCATTCTAGAATCTCTTCCTAATGTTTTCCTGCAATTCCACAGCAACGCGGTTATGAATACACTAGAGTAGACTCTTACCACGCTCTTTAATGAGCTGCAGACCTACCAGTCACTTATGAAAAATAAGGGACAGAAGGGGGAGGCAAATGTTGCAACCACCAAAAGGTTCCACCGAGGTTCGACCTATGGAACCAAATCTACATGCTGTTCTCTGGAAGTAAGACTTTCAAGAAAAAGAAGGGTAGTGGTAAGGGGCCCAAGCCTAACTCTGCTGCTGGTGCTGCTAAGAAAGGTAAGACTGAGGTTGCAGACAAGGGGAAATGTTTCCACTGCAACGTGGAGGGCATTGGAAGTACAACTGCCCGAAATACCTGGCCGAAAAGAAGAAAGCCAAAGAAGGTAAATACGATTTACTGGTTTTGGAAACATGTTTGTTAGAGAATGATGATTCTGCCTAGGTATTGGATTCAGGAGACACAAACAATGTTTGTTCTTTGTTTAGGGAATTAGTTCCTAGGGGCAGCTTGAAGTCGAAGAGATGACTCTCAAGGTCGGAACCGGAGAAGTCGTCTCAACTGTGGCAGTAGGGGAGCTCAAGCTATTTACAAATAATAATATGTATATATTATTAGATAATGTGTACGTAGTTCCAAAAATCAAAAGGAACTTAATTTCAATTTCTTGTTTGTTAGAACATTTGTACTCTGTTTCATTTAATACAAATGAAATGTTCATTTTCAGAAATTGTGTGAATATTTCTTCTGCTAAACTTGAAAACAATTTGTATGTGCTAAGACCAATCATTACTAAAGAAGTTTTAAATACAAAGTTGTTTAAAAGTGCTAAAACTCAAACTAAAAGGCAAAAAGTTTCTCCAAAATAAAATATCATCTTTGACACTTAAGATTGGGCCACATTAATCTTAATAGGATTGAGAGATTGGTTAAGAGTGGCCTTCTAAGCGAGTTAGAAAACGACTCTTTAGCACCATGTGAATCTTGTCTTGAAGCCAAGATGACTAAAAGACCTTTTACTAGAAACGGTTACAGAGCCAAAGAGCCTTTAGAACTTATACATTCGGACCTTTGTGGTCCGATGAATATTAAAGCTCGAGGAGGGTATGAACACTTCATATCTTTTATAGATGATTTTTCAAGGTATTTTTATCTATACCTAATGCAACACAAGTTTAAAGCCCTTTAAAAGTTCAAGGAGTACAAGACCGAAGTTGAAAATCAATTAGGTAAAACCATTAAAACACATTAATCCAATTGGGATGGAGAGTATATAGACTTGAGATTCCAGGACTATATGATAAAACATGGAATCACGTTCCAACTCTCAACTTCTGATACACCTCAAAACAACGGTGTATCAGAAAGGAGAAACAAAACCTTGTTAAACATGGTTCGATCAATGATGAGCTACGCTCAGTTGCATAGCTCGTTTTGGGGTTATGTAGTAAAGACTGCCATGTACATTTTGAACATAGTTCCATCGAACAATGTTTTTTAAACACCCTTTGAACTATAGAAGGATTGTAAAGCTAGTTTACGTCACCTCCGCATTTGGGAATGTTCGATACACGTGCTCGTGACTAACTGATAACTCTCCAAAAGAGAGTTATTCTAGTGTTTATTTGGGTAATTTTATACAAAGATGACTAAGTGTGTCGGTTTTAGCTCTTAATGTAACGCCCCGCGTTACTCAGGTTAGGTTACTCTCGAGTCTCGGGGCCTCTTTTCTTAGAAATCTTTTTAATTTAATTTAAATGTTTCATTTAATTTAATTTTGAGCTGTTGCGGAAATTGTTGTGATTTATTGACGTGTACGTACTTATTTAATTGTGGTTTAGCGAGGAGTCCGCTTCTTTGGCTTTTGTCCTGGGTCAATGGACCAATTACTTAATTATATTATGGGATATAATTAGGCTTAAGGAGGTTAGAAATAGGATTCTAATTTCTCGTTTGTGGGCTTTGTTTTGTTTTAACAAAAAGTAATTGGGTAAGTGGACCTTCCT